GTCCGACTCCATCAGGAAGCGAACCCAAGACCTTCCGAACCGCAGGCGGGCGTCTGGCCACCAACGCCACGGCGGCACCTATACATCTGTGTATGAAATACGTTATTGTACTCAGCGTTTGTAACAGACTATAAATAAATAGTGTGTTCTTCTATCTATCTACTTCTTTCTATGAGTGCCGATCAATACACTTTCTGTTACTTGATTAATTCAATTGTAACAGACTGAAGTACGGCACGTTTACGCTTCTTCTGTTATTTATCCTTCAATGGAGCTTAGATCCGTGGTGGTTTCGGTGCATGGCCTGATGGTGATGATGATAATTACACCAATAAAACGAGAGAAAAAAAAGAGTACATATGAAAATGAGACAGGAAACATCAAATCTGTCTGTCTGTCTGTCTGTCTCTGTCTGTCTGTCTGTCTGTCTGTCTGTGTCTGTCTGTCTGTCTGTCTGTCTGTCTGTCTGTCTGTCTGTCTGTCTGTCTGTCTGTCTGTCTGTCTGTGTCTGTCTGTCTGCCCTCTCTTTCTCTCTCTTCTCTCTCTCTCTCTCTCTCTCCCTTCTTCTTTCTCTACGTGTGTTTAGGTGTTTACATGCACGTGTGTGCACGTGTTTATCATGCTGTTTACGACTGTCCAAGGGCTGCGTCTATATTTAACGAAAATACGAATCACTGTAAACAATGTTGTCCCGTTGTTAACTGACACAACGAGGACATCAACAGTACTAGCCAGGAGACACAACAAGATTTCGTTCCCGGGCGGGATAAACAGGCTAACAAAACAGACTGCGTGGTTTGTGTACACTACACCAGTTGAAAAGATTCATCTTTGATTCAAAGTATTAGACGCTGATATCAGAATCTGCGGGGTTGTGAATGTAGTCTCATAATCCCAACACACTGATGTTGGAAGCCAGCTGCAAGCTATATTGTGGTGATTGTGTAGATTGTGTCGGCTCTGTGGCTAAGTCGATGCGAACGCTTCTTAATGCCGGGATGCCGGGTTCGATCCCAGCTGCGGGCCATGCGCCTTGTGTTGGTTTCGACAGTGGTATCAAGAAAGCCGACCGCCCAGAAGGCAATGGCAAAACTAAATTTGCCTAGAAAAACCACACAACAGCCAGGGGCTGTTGGGGTTGGTTCTGCAACGTCCTGTAAAGGATACGCAACTAACCTGTGTAGATTGTAACGACTTTATGAGCGTGGTAACGTTGTGGAAGCAGAGCATGTCTTTAACGTCGGTATTTACCACTATTTAGGGTTGGTGTCGTGCAGATGTTGTTGAGCCTGAGAAGTTTAGGCTGCATGGTCAGTGAATGAGCTGTGCATGTGAGGATTTTTGTGTGACCCCTACCCCCTAACCACCACCCCACCCCCCCCCCCCCCCAAAAAAAAAAATTCACTATCTTTCCGATGACATAAAATGGATCTCCTGAAAAAGAGGCCAACAATGGCGGATCTTGAATGTAAACAACCGTATTCGACGATTACGGCGTCCGTGGCTTAGGCGTTGCGAGCCCAACTCGTAATTCAGACGTACCGCGATCGAAACCCACCGCAGGCTGTGTGGATTTTTATCATTGTATGGTGCGTCGCAGGTCTACCCAGCCTAAGATGGGTACCAGGATGGCTGTCCTGGGAAAGTAAAGAAGGCCGGCGTAATGCTGGCCACATTAGCCACCTAGTGCCGATGTTCTGTAAAAATATGGGCCCTCTTCTCATATGCCCGATACGCCTAAGGCGTGAAAAGGGATCTTTACTTTTTTACTTTTTATTCGCCGCCCACACTTTCCATTCAAAAAGAAAAAGGAAAAATGGCAGATCTGTAATGGGATGTGCATAAGAGACTTGAGTTCTGAAGCAAGACTAAACTCCGGAAGTGGACGAACAACAATAACTGCCCGTTGGAGTTTGCCGGCGGTGAACACGAAGTAGCAGCAGCAGAAGAACTCTACTTGGTACTGTACCAAGTTTTGTGGTGGTGAGCCAACTAGCACTGAATCATCTTTGTCATGGTAATCATCTCATCAGCATTAATGCTACAACATCATGCCATGTGTATAAAACATCTGATCAAACTTAAACAGCTGAATGGCACAGTAATAAATAGGAAAGCAAAAATTAACCCCCCAAAAAATGAAATAATAAAATAAAAAAAAAAAAAAAGAATAATGAAATAATGGCCACACAAGAACAAGGTTTCGCATAGATTATAATATAGACATATTTTCCAAAGATCATTCTATTCCCCCCCCCCCCCCCCCCCCCCCCCCCCCCCCCCTCTCCTCCCCTCTTTTTGTGTGTTGTTGATGCTTGAATCGGTTTAGTTCTCACGATCCGTACGAACACACGTTGCATTTACTTTTCTTTTAAACTTTTTTAGTTATATTATTTTGATTTACCAAAACCCAATCGTCAGTCGCCGTGGTGTGGCAGCTAGACTACCGTCTGCGGATCGGAAGATCGTGGGTTCGTTCGCGTCCCGGCAGAGCTCTCAGGTCGACCCAGTCTTGAGTGGATATCAGGTGTAGTCCCGGTAAGTAAAGGCGGCCGGCTGGATGCTGACCACATCACCCACTAAGTGCCGATTGGTCGATAAGAATATAGGTCTAGCCCTATATTCCCAATAGGCCTAAAGGTGTGGAAAAGGGCCCTAAAACCCGATCATGGCCGTGTTGACAAATGTTTACTGATTAACTTTCACATAGAAAATCCATGATTACAGTCTGTATGTCTTATAATGTGAATTGTCTCAGTGATTTTGCTGATAGTTAGAAAAGCTGTAAGACTTGCAGACATGTCGACGTACATAAGACTGGGAAAACAGATACCTGTTATTAAGAACCGTAGAGGCCAGAACATACAATTATCAACTAATTGGAATTTAACGTGAGCCACAACCTTGGTAACTGGACATTCTTACTTTTACAACTGACCAACATATCTTTGGTAGTCTGTCATCTAGCAGATTCCAACACACACTCTCTCTCTCTCTCTCTCTCTCTCTCTCTCTCTCTCTCTCTTTCTCTCTCTCTGTGTATGTATATGTGTGTGTGTGCGCGAGCGGAGGGGGTGAGAGGAGAGGGTACACCGAAGTTTATTACAGCTATATGCAAAATTCTAATGTTATGTTGCGTTGATTGGCAGGTATCAATGTTCTCAGTGGACCGGCTCGCTAGCGAAGTCGGTTAAAGCTGACTTCGCGGCGACCGGTTAATGAGCTCCTTGTGGTCCGGGTTCACTCCCGGGGGTAGGCAGAAAATCTACATTTCTCCCATAGTACAGAGCCAAAGGATTAACAGCTCCTGGTTTCTGGATACTTGGTGCGCACCCCCCCCCCCCCAAAAAAAATCAGTTAACTCTGATACAGAGGACGACTGTGTAACTAAGACAGGATTTAAAAGACGAATACGTATATAGTGAACATAAAACTGCAACTTGTTCAACCTATTTACAATGTCCAGTAATGTGCCTGCCCTTCATGCCACGCAAATGTTTTTAGTCACAGTGACAGCCATTGTCAAGTCAACACGGATATAGGATGTGACTAGACAACTAAAACATCAATTGACAACATAATCACAGATCTGATGAATGTGAAGATGGGCAACGTAAAGTCAATGTAAATGAAAGTGATTTCTTTCCACAACAAAATGCCCGACTGTTTAAAGTGCTCTTGTCTTCGCAGTTCGAGACACACTGCGATGGTGAACTGGTCACTCGGAGTCTCCACCACAGAGTAGGAGATTTCATCTTTTCTGACAGTGTTATTTTTTAGTACCTTGAATTCTCCTAAACTTCGACTTAAACATAGCCACTTTATTTTCACAGATACATTTCCTTTCATGGGTAGTAAAGTCAACCAGATAAATGTTGACCAAATTCCCAGATCAATCTATAAAAAATATGGAACATGCACGGCATGCTGGAGGCGCCAGTAACCTTTCACCTGTGACCTGATAATTGGTAACCTTTGGTCTCCATGGGTATTTGTTACATCCCAACCGCGTCGAAGATTATAATGTTGGATCTATAACATCAACGACGGAAGAGGTTTCTTTGCGTGGCCGATTCTTATTGTCTTTGACCGAGAAGATCATTACCGTCGATCCTAGAACTCAAGAAGTACTGACGAAACCGTTCAGACTGACCTTGGATTAGCACCACAACATCCCGGACACGCACAGAAGTTTTCCATAAAGGAACCTGTTAATAAGGTATTCAAGTTGTATGCAGCCTACCCTTGACCAAGGCTTCAACTTCCGATGATTGACCCTCTTTACACCAGGAAGAAGAGCTCCTATCTCTATTTCCTCCACTCATTACTATAAGTGTCGATCATCAAAGATTAAATGCTTCTCACTCTACGAAAAATGTGTACGTCAGAAACGCTTCTGGAAAGCCAGGTTGGAATTTAGGGTTTGCGACCAGCATTTTCGGAATATATATCCAATTCTTGGAGTCAGTGAACAGAGGAAAGAAATGGCCGTTTGAACATCTTTGACCATCATTTAAAAAATATGTATACCTGTTAATCCAGCAGTCTTATAATTCGAGGCTGTCTTAAGTGTTTTTACTTTGCAGAAAGTTTCTTTATTCCTTTAGTAATCGAACTTGGAAGAGTCTGGCTATTGTGACAATCGTTCGTTTCATTTGCCACAATCTGAGAAAAACTGGTCTCCTAGGCGCTGTGCGTGAGTGGACAGATCTAGCACATAGACTGGGAGTGAACTAACGAAGTGGTCGTGGGACTAGTCCTCCTTGTTGTACCATGCAGGTTTTGCATGGTTGAAGAAGGTTCGAGACTGCTGTAGACCATGCCACGGCAACAGCAAAACAAGTATCTGTTGTAATAGATGCGGAATTGGCGGGAGAGGAAGTACAGAGCGAAAGGGTTGACACACGAGTTGATGAACTGCAGACAGAAAGCAGTTATCTTAAACGTATGCCAGAACTGGTTGTACAGATCGGCAGTGAACCAATACCACATGACGAATATATGGCGCGGAAGCCAGCAGACGATGAAGATGAGGACGAAGCTGAGCACCACCCGAGCAACCTTCTTTCTGGCGGCGATCTGACGATGCTGGTTTGCCTGCCCCGTTTTGGACTCTGTCGGGACGCTTTTGCTGCTTCGAATCAGCATCCGAGCCATCATGAGGTAGAAGAATCCGATGGTCAGCACGGGGATGATGAAGAAGACTATCAGTTTCGCTGAATGAAAGATCTTTGGGTACAAACCCCTTGGCTCGTTAGGGTACAGCCAGCACGCAGTGATGTTCTCCTCCGTGTGTTCTGTACTAAAAACAGCATCAGGTATAGCCAGAACAGCCGAAAGCAGCCATATAGCTAAAGCCACGCCAATGGTAGCTCTTCGAGAGCAGAACGTTAGTTTAGCCATCGGCTGGACAATAGCCACGTAGCGGTCAGCGCTGAGAGCGGTCAGTGTAAACACGGACACTCCCAGGGACAGCGTATGTATGTACTCGTTCAGTTTACAAATCTTGGTCCCAAACGGCCAGTGGATGAAGGTGTACAGGAATGAGGTCACTGGAACTGAGACCAGGATGAGCAGGAAATCTCCCAGTGAGAGGCTCACAATCAGTATGTTGGGCACGTTGCGCATCTCCTGGTCAAATACACGAAAAAAATATAGGTCAATATTACAGGCACAATGCTCAAAAATAAACTGTCTAACATCTGGAAATCAAAGACACTTAGCAAACACACAAAACTCAAGATCTTCAATTCTTGTGTGATTCCAGTACTAACCTATGGATGCGAGAGCTGGAAATCAACGAAAACTCTAGACACAAAATTAGACAGTTTTGAAAATAAATGCCTTAGAAGAATACTAAATTTCAAATGGTCATATTTCCGAACCAATACACAAATAAGGCAAGAATCCAGGCAAGAGTATGTGTCTAAATTTTATTTACACGAAATAGGTGCTAATTTTATACGAAAACGCCGCTGGAACTATGGTCGGCCACGCCCTTAGAATGGATTAAATCAAGACTTCCTTACAAGCCCTCATTTGGACACCACAGGGGAAAAAGATCTCGTGGAAGACCAAGGGAAACCCTACGTAGAACTATCATCAGGGAAGGCTCGCTCATGGGCCACTCAAACATCCAAGACCTACAACGGATTGCAACGGACCGCCGTGCATGGAGAGTCGCGACCTCTGCCCTATGTGCCGCACTCGACACAAGAGGAAAGACTAACTAACTAATGCTCAAAACAAGTACACAATATATATCAGTACTATTGCACGTACTAGAAACACACAGCAGCAAGACACATGCAATGACTCTGCTTCTGTCTTTCTCGTGTTCACGGAAAGTGCCGCCTGGTCATCCTCTTCTGGACTTTGGTCTTGTTCCAGAATTTGAGTTTCCCATACACATCCGTTTGGCTGATCTGGCTTATTCACATGCAGCCCCTGTTGAAACAAAATATCCCTAATTAATACCTTTCTTGTTTGCCTCCTGGTGGGGGCAGATGCGCTAGCTATTTTTGTGATCTATCTATCTTGGCTACTGGTCTATGCAGATGAATCTATCGACCTAATTATATCACCTAGTTTCCTTGTTGGGGGCGGGGGAGGGTTAATTTTGGGGGTTAGGATGGCGTGAGTGAGGAGTGGGTGGATGGTGGAGGGATTGGGAGAAGTGAGTCTATCGCCCACCCCCTTTTTAAACAGAACCCCGAAACCCCTATAGGGAGGTCAAAAATCTATCTAAAAATCTACAATCTATCTCGTCAGTATCGTATCTATCTATCTCGCGGTAGAGCAGCTCTATCTATCTCTATAGATCTATCTATCTATCTATCTATCTATCTAAATCTATCTATCTATCTGAATCTAGCACATCTATCTATCTATCTATCATCTATCGACATCTAGGTTATCTGGCTGCATGTTATCAATCATCTGCACTCGTGAATCTATCTATCTAACGATGGATCTACATCTATCTAGTCGAACTTCCAACCTATCAGAAATCTATCTATCTATCTAACATCTATCTAATCTATCACTATTATCTATCCCTATCTAACCTCATCTATCTATCTATCTATACTATCTATCTATCTATTATATCTATTATCTATCTACTAGACATATCTAAGGTATTTGGAGTTATCTATATATCTGAATCTAATCTATCTCTCTTTCTCCTATATTATCTATCTGTCTCTATCTCTCTCTATCTGTCTATCTATCTATCTATCTATCTATCTATCTATGTCTCTATCTATCTATCTATATCTATCTACTATCTATCTATCTATTATCTATCTATCTATCTATCTATCTATCTATCTATCTATCTATCTATCTTCTATATATCTATCTATCTATCTATCTATCTATTATCTATCTATCTATCTATCTATCTATCTATCTATCTATCTATCTATCTATCTATCTATCTATCTATCTATCTATCTATCTATCTATCTATCTATCTATCTATCTATCTATCTATCTATCTATCTATCTATCTATCTATCTATCTATCTATCTATCTATCTATCTATCTATCTATCTATCTATCTATCTATTTGTCTGTTATCGGTCTGTCTGTCTATCTGTCTGTTTGTGTGTGTCTGCGTGTATGACCGTTTTTATGTGTCAGCATGTGTCTGTTTGTGTGTCTTCGTGTCTGTGTTCTACATGTATGTGTCTGAGTGTGTGACTTTGTGTGTTTGTGGGTGTCTGTATGTGCCTGTGTGTATGTGTGTCTGCGTGATAGTGACTGCATGAGTGTCTGTGTCTATTTGTTTGCTCCTGTGTGTGTCTGTGTGCATATGTCTGTGTGTGCTTGTCTGTGTGTATATCCGTGTGTATGTGTGTGTGTACATGTGTGTACTTGTGTGTATGTGTGTCTGCGGGTGTGTATCTGTATCTGTGTGAGTATCAGCGTGTGTGTGTATGCGATTGTATGTGTGTGTGTTTGTGTGTCTGTGTGTGTGTGTCTGAGTGTGTGCATGTGTGTGTGTGTGCCTGAGGATTGTGTGTGTGTATCAGTGTGTTTGTGAATGTGTGTCTGCGTGTGTGTCTGCATGTGTCTGTGTGTGTATGACTGCGAATATTTGTGTCTGCGCGCGCGCCTGTGTGTGTGTCTGTGTGTTATGTCTGTGTGTGTATCTCTGTGTGTCTGTGTATGTGCGCATGTGTGTGTGTTTTTGTGTGGGTATGTGTGTGTCTGTGTGTGTTTCTGTGGGTGTGTCTGTGTGTGCATTTGTGTATCTGTTTGTATGTATGTGTGTATGTTTGTGGAATGTGTGTGTATGTGTGTATATGTATGTATATATGTGGGTGTATGCGTGTTTAAGTGAGTGGGCGGGTGCATGTATGTGGGTATATGTGTGTATGCGTGCGCTAGTGTGTGCATGCATCTTATCATCTATGCTTTTGTGGGTTAAAAAAATATTCACAGTATGCATTTGATCCTTTTAATATAACACGATTTATTGATAAAAAAACAACTGCTGTGTGAAAGACGGGTATTTAGAAAGGCTGAATGTAAGACGGGCTTCCTTGCCCAGTTTGTGACCCTTTGAAAATAAATATCGTTTGTTCGTTCGTTCTGACTGTCTGTCTGACTGTCTGTCTGTCTGTCCATGTCTGCCAGCCTGTCCGACTGTTAAATTCAGGTAATTAGTCAGCCATTTTGTCCGCCTGCCTGCTTCAGTAACTATCTGGGCACGCTAGCTTTCTATCAAAAATCCACCAATGATTCTCATCAGTTCTGTAATGAATAAGAACGGAGTGGTTGCGAGAAGCCATCATTACAAAGATTTCCCATTAGATTCATTTAAAAGGAAAGTGAACTCCCATTTGCAGCAACGCAGGCTTATTTCCTCTTACATTTCTGAAAACTAGTAACTCCTAACTTCCGCTCAGATCTCGTTTCTCAGCTTCCGGACCAAGACGGGGAGACTACTGGAAAAGTAGTCTTTCGAAAAACCGCAAATTGCAGACATCTCAAAAAATGCACTTTCAAAGAAAGGGTTTTACCATGTCTACAGAACAATGAGCCAAGAATAAACCTCCACCTTTCTGAACTATCTTCCCGATGCACACAAAAAGAACCGTGCCTCTGATGGTCACCAAATGAACACAGACGCAGGACGAAAAAGCTTTCTTTTTAAATATATATCATGACCTTCTCAGACAGCATGTATACCAGGCTGGTGTGTCCGTTATGGAATCTCAGTTATACGTTCTTGGCTGAACTGAGTTTCTGGGGTTTGCCATGTGGTCATGTCATGTTATTTCAATGGTCTGCTATCCCGATAGGAATTTTGTATTTGTATTTCAGTGTACAAACAGCAGCTAACTGGAGAATGAGAGAGAGAGAGAGAGAGAGAGAGAGAGAGAGAGAGAGAGAGAGAGAGAGAGAGAGAGAGAGAGAGAGAGAGAGAGAGAGAGAGAGAGGGGGGGGGGGAGGGGTGGCGCCGTTCTTCTCTCTGGTGGTTTTATGAAAGTTCACACGACTCTTCTCATGGTTATAACTAGAGGCGGTAATTGTAATCTAGAAGCTTACATCAAGCTTTTTAACACTCACTGACATTCAAAACTGAAAAAATTTGTTCACGGACATGGAAAATATGAGACCTCTGCTCACGAACATGGAAAATATGAAACCTCTCCTCTTTTCTCAGACAGGGACAAAAGGAGATTTGTTCACCGAAAGGGAAAACAGACATTAAATGACGGACAGGGACAAACGGTGATCACTGTTCGCGGACTGGAGCAATAGTAAGCATCGTTCGCTGACAATGACGTCTTCGCAAACACCGGCTGTAAATTTCGGTGGAAAGTTCTGATTGTTCCCCCACCTCTGGACATTAGTCTTGTTCCAGAACCTAAGTGTTCTGTGCACATCCGTTTTACAAATCTAGCGTGTGTGTATGCACACTGTTGTTTTCTGCCCTTCACTTCGGCGACTCTTAGGACTTACTTTTTAAGGGAGTCAGTGGTTCTCGTTTTGTCTACACTGAGACCCCGGAACACACACAGGAAGACAGGGACAATAGGAGACATTTGTTCCTGATCAGGGATAAAAGGAGACATTTGTTCTCGAAAATGTACAATATGAGACACGTGTGAACGGACAGCTGCAATATAAGACATAAGTAAACGGACAGCTACAATATAAGACATATGTAAACGGACAGTAGGAGATTTTTGTTTACGGACAGCTACAATATGAGACAAATGTGAACGGACAGTAGGAGACAATTGTTAACGAACAGTTACAAAATGAGACATATGTGAACGGACAGTAGGAGACAATTGTTTACGGACAGCTACAAAATGAGACATATGTGAACGGACAGCAGGAGACATTTGTTCACGGACAGCTACAATATGAGACATATGTGAACGGACAGTAGGAGACATGTGTGTTTACGTACAGCTACTGTATGAGACATATTTGAACGGACTGTAGGAGACATTTGTTCACGGACTGCTACAATGTGAGACATATGTGAACGGATAGTAGGAGACATTTGTTCACGGACTGCTACTATAAAAGAATATGTAAAAGGATAGTGGGAGACATTTGTTCACGGACTGCTACAATATGAGACATATGTGAACGGATAGTA